ATGTATACTCAGGCAGTCTGATCTCAAGGCCCATGCTCAAATCAGCACAGAAATTATTTCACTACACTGAGCACCTACAATATGTCAGGCACTGTGCTGGCCTCGCAGAATGCACACCCATAAGGCACTTTCAGCCCTCTGGGGGACAGAGACAAGTCATCAGCCAATCACAATACTAGGTCCCAGATGCTACAGAGGGCTTAGTATCTTATCCTATCAGATAAGAGGCTAAGGAGTACACAGGAGCACCAACAAGTCCAGTCTTGGAGAAGTGGGGTGCAGATCTAAGAACTCAAGTCTACTCCAAGGCCTGAAGGGAAAGAGGGGGGCGCATTCCAGAAAAAGCAAAACACAGGCACGAAGGCCTGAGGGCAACCAAGAGGAGTTTTTGGCAGGTGATGTGTAGGCCGGTGCTTCTCGAACTTTAACGTGAATATGGATCACCTGGAGGCCTTGTTAAAATGCAGAGTCTGATTCAGCAGGTCCAGGGTGAGGCCTGAGATTCTGTATTTCTAATAAGCTGCCAGGTGATGATATTTCTAGTTCATGGACCATCCTGTGAGTAGCAAGCACAAATAGGTGGGTGTAGACAGGAAGCTAGAAAATGGGTAAGGGATGCATCACATAAAAGCCACCATGAGGAGTCAGGGCTTTGTTCTTAGTATAGCTGGAAGACACTGAAGAATAGAAAACATCATACTTGCAGTTTTAAGATTACGCTGGTTACCACATGCGTGCATGCGTGTGTGTGTGTGTGTTTGGGGGAAAGGTGTGTGTTTGGGGGAAGGATGTGGGTGTGTAGCACATTTCTGCTCCAGAGACATAGTAATGTCCAGTTCTAGATTTGACACCTAATAAGGATAAACGCAATCACCTCTAAATTATTGGTCTGATGTGAAGAGAAGCAGCAGCCAGGTGGGGAAGCAGAATGGTAGGCAGTGGTTCTGAAACTTGGTGTGCAAGGAAATCACCAGGAGAGGTTTTAAAAACAGATTCCTAGGTCTAACCCCCAGAGTGGTCTTCAGTAGGTCTGAAACAGGGCCTGAGAAGTTGTTCTTCTGACAAGTTCCTAGGAGATGCGGGTATTGCTGGTCTGGTCTTGGGGTCACATTTTGAGAACCACCGGTGTAGTGGTAAAAGCACAGGCTTTGGGAGGCCATACAGATATGGATTCAAATTCCTGACCCACCACCTTCCTAGCTGTGTGACTTCGGGCAAGTTTTTCAAACTTTTTGAGTCTCAGGTTTCTTCTTTGTAGTAAGAAAATAGGGAAATAATACTAAGCTCATGGCAGGATGGTAGAGTGATGATGGTGGTAAGGATTAAGTGAAGTAGTAGGTGCTTGATAAGGCAGAGTGGCCTTGTCCGGGGCTGCTGGAAGGCAGGACCAATGAGTACACGGCAGGGAGGGAGATGCAGGCTCAATCCAAGGAAACATCCAACAAAAGAGCTAACCATCTAAGGAAAAGGCCATCACCAAGAGTGAATCAGAGAGAGGCAGGTGCCCAGGGAAGGAGGTGAAAGACGATATCCCTACCCCAGTGAGGAGAGTGAACCATAAGCCTATGACCTCTCATGAAACTCAGGAAATTCATGATTACCTTGAAAATATGGGCCATTCCATCAACTCAAGAAACCTAAAGGTAGAACAAAACAAGGCAAGGTTCTACCCAGAGGTGAATTCCATGAAGACATTTTTTTTGAAGAATCTCAGGGCTCAAGTAATCCAGGACCTCAGGGAAGGGAAGTGATGTGGTTATCTGCAGAGTGAAGGAAGTCCAGCTGCACCAAACCTGGCAGAGCTGAGTGATCAGAAGTTGTCACCATGGTGGAGCCACGCTCAGGCATAATTTTACGACATGATTAGAGGCGTCCAGAGAACTATGCTGCCACAGACTAACTGCTTTTCATCTCCCTTTACCCTCCCTCTCCAATTCTTTTCCTCTCCGAACTTTGTCTTCCTTGTCCCTCCCCCAATTCAATGCTTTTCTACCAATAAGCAAATCATTCTAGTCAGTTTCATATTCATCCTTCCTTTACTTCAGAATTATTTTGAAAAGAAAAATAATAAAGGTAGACTAGCTCTACTGAATATTAAAACACAGAGCTATCCAAACTGTTTGGTACTGGAGAAGACAGAAAAGACTTTCAAATATGCAAATTGAAACAGAAATATTAGAAGAAAACATAGATATATTGTTAAACAATCTTGACATGGAAAGTTTTCTAAGAATCAAACAAAATCTAGAATCTATACAGAAAAGTAATACACAGAAAGAAGGAAGAATATGAAAAAATACATACTATAGAAAAAGGAAATGACAATTTTAGTAAAA